CGCCTCCACGCCGCCGCCCTCGCTCCTCTCGGCTAGCGGGTGAGATCCCCACCCTCGCCTCTGCCCTCTTCGCCCCCCGCGCTTACCGGGCTCCGGAATTTCTACCTTTTTGCCAGGGATTCCAAGCGCGATATATCTCGAGGTGCCGGGCGCAGAGGCGATGGTGGCCAAGCTGCGGCGCGACGACATGTCGGAGGAGGCGAACCCCATCTGCGACTCCGTCGCGTTCGGCATCGTTGGCCAGGTGCTCCAGTCCGTGCGGATGGTGCGTCGTAGCTTCAGCCCCTCCCCTTTTGCTGCCTATTTGCAGTTGTTTTTTACTGGCGATTCTGGGAGGCCGTCGTTAGTTTTTGTTCGGTGCCTTGATTCAGAGAATTTGAGGAGGCATGCTGAATTTTAGTGCAGCTTTTAGGGCGTCTAGCCGTCTACAACTCCGCTCGCTAGACCTGAGCTCCCGCAGCCATGCATGTAGCGATCGGTTTAGGTTTCTTATTTCATTGTTTGTTTTTCTTCATAAGCGTCTACGCAGGTCTTAAGAATACACGGTCTCCTATCTTACTGAAAAGCCCCTTAAATTGGTAATCCTATTGGGAAACCCCTCAGCCAGCGAATGGTTTAACACTTCAGGTATGGTACTATACTTAAGAATGTCTTGTGAAACAGAGGTAGGACATGATTTACAAACTTCGGAGACGTGGCAATTAGCTAGTAATAATATAAACTTTACATAATAAACAAATGTGAGAATCTATTGAATATAACCAGCGGTCAAGTCATTGGAATGCTTAATGTCCAATTTAATGGTGTCATGATCCTGACTTAAAAAAAACTTAGTTGAAATTCCTGTTGTACCTTGTTCACTTCTGTTGCGTGTATTGAAGTCAACTTGGGAACTAGGTGCTTGCGTCCACCCCTTACACATTCAGGCCATCCATTGTGTACTATTGAGATCAAAGATAATAAATGCATTCGTTTATCATTTTATAAATAGTGCATTTCTTCAGAATAATATCGAGGCATCTAGTAATGGATTCAAGTTTGATATTCAAGGCTGTTAGAAGATGTGAGAGACTATGCCAGATGGATGTGCAGTGTGAGAGTTAGGATAAGTGTAAGGTGATTATTTTCCTATGGATGCAATTTTTGAATGCCAATTTGTGGGTTAGGCAGGAGGGCGCATGCTATTTCTTCTATTGATATTGAGCTTCCAGATGTTGCATGTTTCTGCCAGAGAACAAATAGATTTATTCAGCCTCAGGCATTACCCTTTCTAGAGAGTAATTATTATTGCTGTAGACATGCATTTTATGGAGGACAGCCATAAGTCCATAACCGACCCGCTAGATAGAATTATACTTATGTTGTTTATGGGCATTATTTGAATTATTTTCTGTTCTGACTGCTTATCGTGTAATTTCTTCAATCCATTCTTCTTGCTGCATATATGCACTCTACCGAGAGTGACTGTCCCATTCTATCGAGAGATTCTGTCCCATTCTATCGTGAGTGACTGTCATACCATACTCACTGGAGATACAACATACAATACTGTTGTTTATGGGCGGTTTATGTTGTGTGAAAATCTGTTCCTGTTCTGGCTCCACGTATCGAGTAAATCACTCGTCAGGTTGATCCCATACTAGAGGAGTCCATTCCAGCCATTGTTTTTGTTGTGTGACATCAATCTATATTCAAGAGCCGCGTCTAGCTGATCAGTCGACACCCTTGTCTTTGATTTAGGAGCCGCATCTAGCTGACTCGCATGCTCTGGAGCAATATCATAGAATTGTAGGCATTCTAGACACCAGCAAGAGAAGGAATCCTGATAAGGAGAACCCTGACAAGAAGGCTCTGTATGTGGTAAGACCTTAATCCTGTTAATCTATCCTACAATTTGTTCTACGTGACATCACTTCTGATAAAATGCTCATATTGCTTATTTTTCCAGACGTGTTTGAAGGCATTAGCATCAGAAATATCCAAAATAGACATCAATTACCATCATTCTCTTCTGAAAAATGTAATCTCATAATGACTACTTACTATTACATCTCCATTTGGTTTGTCGAGTTACTTGAATCTCACTAAAAACATGCATTTCAGATATTCACTGTCTCCATCTGGTATTTGCCAAATGATACCATTCCTGAGTTCTTGGAGCTAATAACCAGATTGGTATTCTTCTAATCGCACCTGCATTGTTTCCTGCATGATCTGCTTTTGAGTGTCTTACTTAATGATTATTGCTCCATCCAGGCTGCAGTGGCAGATGATTATCTCACAGAATGCCTGCATCTGCTAGTGAACAACTTCGTCCCACCTCTTGTTGATCGCACAAAGATGGTTAAATGGGCAGTTTCAAGGAAGACATATATTTTTTCTCAACTGTGCATGTGTTTGATAAGAATCTCCAATATTATACCCTTAGCACCAAAGGTCTTAAGGGGTATAATTGATAAGTGTATGCCGAACTTATTCGATAGCAAAGATGTAAGTGTGAACCCTAAGATGTTTTCTGTTTTCATAGTCTGTTGAGTTCTATGAGTTGCATTTCCTAATTAGCTTGAATTAATGCTAGGCAAACAAGACACAAATGCTGAAAAGTGATCTTGGTCTCCCCAGTTCACCTTCCAGTTAACCTTAAATCCTTAGAGATCCTACACGCCTACATCCTTTTGACAACACCGCAGATTTTCTTGAATATCAATGCCAACTTGCCATCATTTTAGCTTCTGTATGTTTGTGTGATGGGCCTTACCTGTGTTGAAAGCTTCTTCCATATCAAGTGATAGTTGGCATTGTGCTCCCTTGCCTATCAGCTTTGTGTCGACAATTTATGATTCTTAGTTTTGCCGCTTATATGCTGAAAATTCAGCTGAGAACTTTGTTCATTATTTCATAGAGCATCATTTCTTACTTTCTGGTAATGCCTTTCGCAGAAGACAATTTCATTTGTCGAGTGCATGTTGGGGCTAGATACTGGAAGGATGGGGGATCTTATCAGAGCTGTTTTGCTGGATAAAATTGTTCATCTTCTAACAGAATTAGATGTATGCTCAATTTTCCACTTCTTGTCTACCCTGCAAGGTCGCAACTGATTCTTGACCTCATTAGTTGATTGGTGAACTTTTCAGGTTAATATAACCTGGGAAGGTATTCTTCAAGAGCAACATAACAAAGGTATATTTGACATGGAGCTTCAAGATTTGGATGGCAATGAGGAGGAGGATGGCCTTGGACACGGAGGAGTAAAGGTCTGTGCGTTATGTTTAAAATTTCTGCCTAATTAATCGAGTAGTTTTACACCAAAGTTGCCAACTCACTCCCATTTTGTTGGTTAGGTTTTATTGGGAGCAAATGCACATGCTGAAAAGCTTGATGATTTAATGGTTGTTATATTTGAGCACTTCAAGTCATTAGATGCTCAGTGCCTGCATAAGGTGAGTACTTGCTAATTGCTACGCAGTTTATCAAGGCCTTTGCCAAAAAAAAACCCTTTTAAATTTAGCATCACTAACTTAATTCTTTCAGTTGAGTGACATTTTGGACATCTCTTCAGTTAAACTTTTAAAGATTCGACTGCCAGGATTGTTATAAATACATTATAAACATGAAAACCATATGTATATATTTGTCTTAAAAAGTAGCTCTAAAATATTATAGTTTATATCTTATGGATATACCCTAGTAGATATTAGTTGTCATCCGCTCAAAAAAGAAATAGTTGTCATAGTTAAATCTTGAAGACCGTGCAATGTCCAAAATGCCATCCTTTTTGTGAACTTGAGGGAGTAGTAAATAAGGAAATGTAACTGTTAAAGTTGAATGTTAGTTTTTCAGTTTGTCACTCTCATGTTCTCCTTTGAACTGGACAGGAATTCACAATTTTGAAGACTATATTTCGAGCATCTGTGCTGACAGTGGACACACCAAAATTTGTCCAGGTCAGAATCCACTGTTATTTCGTGTGTGTGTGTGTAAACTAGATTCACTGGGCTTTCGTGATTGTATTGAGTTTTATTCACCTTCATGTTTTCTCAGTCACCTTTTCACTTCACTTTCTTTTTTATTTGACTGCCGTTCTAACTTTGCAGTTTATCATGTTCTATATCTGCGCACGGGATCCTGAAATATGTGCTCTCGAATTTGCTCTTTTTCTTACTGACATTTTTAAGAATAAGGAAGAGGATCCAATTTCAAGGTATGTCGTAGCATGTGAGGCATACACCGTATGCACAACACTTCTATTTATGTCATGTGTTATTGGCTACGATCACTACTTGCTTTACATGTTGTGATGATTTGTAGAATCTTTGGTTTGTTGCCACATTTTGTTTTACTCATGTTTGTCAAGTGTGTGGCTGGTGTTTGCATTGTGACGACTGACGGCAGTTGCAGCGAGCCACACTTAGATCTTTCAACCACCTGTCAACATGTCTTTTTGCCAAGTTGCCACAATTTTGGCAAAAAGTGTTTACATAGACCATTCATGCATGCACCCCTCATATTTTCTGTGGCTACAGTCAGTAGTATATCCTGTTATGATTCCCATTTATAGCTAAGGCTTTTATACAGGTTGAAGAAACACTAATTACCACTTATGATTTGAAGTGCAGAATGTCCGCAGTTTCATATATTGGAAGTTATTTGTCTCGGGCAAGGTTTATTTCTGACGATACAGTTGTTGCTATCATTGGGAAGTGGGTACCCTCTAGAAATTCATCTATTTACGACTTGCCTGGTGTTTGTTCTGAGATCTGAAAGTATCTTCATTCGCTTTACACAGGTTAGTAGATTGGTTGGTTGACTACTGTGACCATGAGAGCACAAGAGAGTCCACACCAATTCCAAACCATCAGTTATTTTATGCGACCTGCCAGGTTAGTTATGCCATCGTGTTC